CCACTTAGGATCATCATATTTGCCTCTCATAATCTTCTTGTACAAAGCCTTAACTTGTCATCATCAAAGGGCAGAAAGCCACACGAAAGTACATATAAGAGTATGCCCATGCTCCAGATATCTGCCTCTGATCCACGGTATGATTCGCCTTGTACTGACTCAGGTGCTGCATAAGCAAGACTCCCTCAGGGAGTCTGTGGATGGTAATCGTTATTACTCTCAGCTTTCGCACAGTGACCAAAGTCAATCAGCTTTACTTTGTGATATTCATCAAATAAGAACTTCTCTGGTTTGATGTCCCTGTGAGCATAGCCCTGGCTGGGCACATAAGCAACTAAAGCTACTATCTGCTGGAAGATGACCTGGGTCTCCTCCTCCATCAGGTGACCCCGGGAAATTATGTAGTCAAACAGCTCCCCTCCAGAACAGTACTCGAGAATATTAACACTATGAATATTTTCTTGGCTGTCTCTAATACTTGATAGAGCTGACATAAATGCTGGTGTCTGATTCTTCAAGGCATCAATCTCTGTTTTGACCTTCAAGACATCAATCTCTGTTTTGAGTAAGGAAGATCACTCCCTAGTACATTTTTATCCATGATTTTTATAGCCACCATTTTGCCAGTGAGGATATGGCAGGCAAGTTTGACCTTTGCAGAACCACCTGTCCCAATAGTTTCATATACTTCATAGTTTTTAGAAGTTCATCATAATCTTTCATAGTTCACCTGGAAGCTTATTCAAAATGACAAAAAGAACCTGAGGGGTGGAGGGCCAGACCCGGTGGGACTGACAAAAGGACAGAGGAGCCAGCCAACCCTCCCAGCAAAGCTCTGGGTATGAGAAATTTCTACTAGGAATCTCTTTGATCACCGGAACTACATTTTTTTTTTATTAAAACTGCTTTGAATGATAAAACAGAATACTCAAAATTGCATTTTGTCATTGATATGTTCAATATTGGGAAAATTCAAATTCTGACTGAAATTTCTTGGTAATAGTGTAATCTTTATATATATATATAGGAGCTGCCATCACTCAAGCACCAGGAAAGTAGCCATGTGGATGCCCCCGAACCCCCACAACTCCCCTAACAAACACCCCCACACTCTCAGACCTCCTGATTGTGCCAGTCTTTGGACCCACTCTGCAGAGGCAGAGGTGGTCATCAAAGGTATTTTTCTGAGTTCCCAATTTTGAACATCTTTAAAGAAAGGGCGTGGGAAACCTGCAGTAGAAGGGGGTGGAGTTCAACCATTCAGAAGGTTGGAGAACTCAATCTGGGCTCGCAGTCTGAGGTCAGTCTGCATCATGGGGTTCAGCCATCAGCTAACTGAGACCAGGGGTCTTGCATCCTAGCTCTGTCTGAGCCATTAAATGGTAAATATACTATATTGAAATTTTATTCACTGTAGACATGTTCTGGACTGCTTCTTGATTTCAATTTAATTGAAACGATTTAAGGATGATAGACTAATGACTACCACAGGTGGTCAGTGTCCAAGTTGTGCTTGATCTTAATGTGCTGCTGATTGTATGTGTTGCTGATTGCATCAGTTGGGATAAAGGATTGTGGTTAATTTGTTGAGCTGTTTTCTCTGATGTTATGATGATGAGAATGTCTGTGGATCATTAGAGACCCAGAAGCTAGGGCTCAGCTATATCAGGAAGATTTGGGTGATAACCCAGAGAATAAAGCAAGGACAGTCCGACAACAAAAATAAAAATGAGAAAACACTTAAGCAAGACACAAGGACAGACTTCCAGTTCACCAATGGCAAACAGTAGGGCAAATGAGAATGAAAAGGCCAATAGTGAATCACCAGGACACCCTGAACTCAAAGCACAGGAAGTAACAAAACAGATCAATCAGGCTCCAGAAAAATTCAAAACAGAAATAATTTCCCAGATAACCATAGAGATAGTGAGCAAAATGGAAGTCATGATTCAAGACTCTAGAGCAGAAACTGACAAAAAAAAAAAATAGATGAGCTCAGGACCATGATAGGAGCCATGAAGGCCCAGCATAACAAAGAAATGGAAAAAATAAATGCCCAACATAGGAAAGACATGGAATCCATAAAACAGATTCAAACAGATATCCAGGAGATTAAACACTCCATTGAAAGTGTACTCAACAGAATAAAAGAATGTGAAGATAGACTCTCAGATATAGAAGATAAAATTGCAGTCAGTGACCATGAAAAGAGAGGTCTCTTAAAAACATTAGGGGATCATAAGACATCAATCCAATAAAGCCTAGATGATGCAAAGAAGAATAACATAAGACTGATAGGAATCCGTGAAGTAGCAGGAGAAAATACAAATGACTTAAAAAAGCTGTTCACAGAATTAATGACAGAAAACTTCCCAAACAGGGGGGAAGAATTTGACATTCAGATAACTGAGGCATATAGGACCCCAACTAGCCACAATCCAAAAAAATCTACACCTAGAGTTATAATAATTAAGATTCCAGAAACCCAACAGAAGAACAAAATATTACAAGCAGTAAGAGAAAAGAAACAAATCACATGCAAAGGAAAGCCCATCAAAATCACAGCAGACTTTTCAACACAAACCCTTAGGGCAAGGAGAGCCTGGAATGAGACATTTCAAGTACTAAAAGACAACAACCTCCAACCTAGACTGATGTATCCTGCAAAACTCTCTTTCAAAACGGAAGGGGAAGTAAGATACTTCCACGACAAAGAACACCTGAGAAACTACATGAATGCCAAACCAGCATTACAAGCAATTCTAAACAAGATCCTAGAAAAAGACAATGAAGGTAACAACACCATGAGGCCCAACAGAGCAAATCAAATAGGCAAGGCAAGAAACTAAGAGGAGAAGGTGAAAAAGTAAAAAGAGTCAACCAAAGGTCAATAACAGGACAATAATAAGTCAGTACATATCAGTTATAACCATCTATGTCAATGGCCTCAACTCACCAATCAAGAGAAATAGACTGGCAGAATGGAATAAGAAGCAATATCCAACAATATGTTGTATATAAGAGACACACCTAGTGCAAAAAGAAGCCCATAGACTGAAAGTGAAAAGATAGAAAACAATTCTCCATGTGACAGGAGCCCAGAAAAAAGCAGGGGTAGCAATCTTATTTGCAGACAAAGTAAATTTCAAATCGAGACTGATTCTAGTATTATTGATGTAGGACGGTACTGTATCATACCTCTGTGAATGTAAAATATCTTGTACCTGCTTTATGATACATAGTAGTGACTGTGCTTTATCAGAGCTATTTTTAATGATGTTACTCTAGAATGTTCTCTTTCCAGATGATGATTAAGATGCTAATAAAATAAAAATGGTGCCAGGTACTACAACAGCAATAGAACTTTGCTATTTTCTGGGTATTATTATTTTCTTTATTTTTTTGTTTTTGTTCTTTAATGGAGTGTGCTGAATGTCTATAATTTTGTTCAGATGACTGCAGAACCTGGAAAAGCTGTTGCTTTATTGATGCATAACATACTGCTATTATTGGTCT